TGTAGGAGCTGTAGGCTTTTCATTTCTAGGTACAGGCCGTTTGGACACTCTACAGGAAGAAACAAGAAAAGTCAACCAATGTTAGAATCGTTTAATTTCCAGCGATATCGTCGACTTGATTGCACAGATACTATTTAAATTGAACTGAGCTGGACGATATCACTGAATTCAATGATGAACTGCCTTTAACTGAAAATTGAGCGTTTACTATTGACCTTTTGCAATATTGCCACATTATTTAATACTGTAAAGCTACATATAAAATACAATATGTATTGTTAAAAGCGCTATATAAATAAAGGTGACTTGACTAGAAGAGAGTGAAAAAAAATGTATTAGTTTAATAGGGTGTATATAAATTACAGATAAGGTCTCATTTACCTCCGTGGCTGAGCAGGAACAGATTTCTGGCCCTGACCAGGAGCTGGAGTAGCTCTGCCGTTTGCCCATGATGTGACTATGTTAGATGGGACCTCCGTAGAGGTGCTTTCTCTGACATCTGAAGCAGAGCAAATATTAAGATTCCACATGCAAATCAAACATTTTTTTTTGAAGTTTTTCCTAATTTAAGCCGTTTCCCCCCCCAACCTGAGCTTGTTGTCTCATCTTTTTTGACCATGGGAGACACTAGAGCTTTGGGTCTGTTGGTATTGTGGGTTTCATCAAAAAACTTTGTCTGTAAAGGGGTGGTGAGCTGTTCCACCGTGCCGCCTTTAGGAGTTGCCTTCAACTCTAATAGCAAAACAGAACAAAGATAGTTGTGCAATTGAACATGTATGTGTTTAATTATTATTAATTGTGCACTTGAACATGCATGCATTTATTTATTATTAATATACATACATACACACACACACACACACACACACACACACACACACAAACAAACGATTGAAGTCATACCAAACCACTGGTCAGCATTATCCTGAGGGTCCAGGGCAAATTCATCTATAGACTCTATAACATGAGAAGGGGCATCCCATGTGTATGCATCAGCAGAGCCCCCTTCCATATTCACACCGGAATCTTCTGCAAAACCAAAAAGAAAAAGGATTTATACAGTTAAAACGTAATCTGTAGCAAAGCTGCACAAATAAAGAAGAAGAAAAAAAAATGATAAAGTAGTTCTACATTTCCTGCGCAGAGCGGCGCAAAATGGCAGTTGATGGCTAATCTCAGACTCAAGGCCCAGACTGCAATAGCAGCGCTAAATTTATCCACCAGTTATGGATTATAAAAAATAATCTATGCAAGTTACAGACTATTAATATTCTAATACATTTTAAACGGAAGATCGGCACTTTACACGATCATTTCAGAACCACCTCTCATTACTCATAAATCACAAACAAAAAGATAAATGTAAACAAACGAAGCCTAAATAATATCTTTACATAAACTAAGATAGCATTAATCAATTGAGTAAATAAACTCTGAAATCAGTCGTTCTATTGCATTAAACATGAAAAACTTGTTTTGCAGCGATTACGGCCAAATACAACCGCACCAATTAAATCTTAAATGCAGCAGCTGAGTCTAAATCAAAATATGATAATGTTTAAAAATGTGCAAGAAGACATACTTACGTTTTAAACCGATGCCTACTATCACAACCTGGCAAAATATAGCAAAATTTTGAATCAACAGACGCACGTATCCTCCTCCACAACCAGTCGAGAATGCTAGTTTGAATGTTGGTGCCGTTAGAACTGCGTTTATGAATCAGCCAATCAGAGGGCTTAACACGGCGCGTTTCGTTTTCTATTAGCTCCGCGCTTGTGACGGTGTCGAACGCGATAACCACGTGACTAGCTGAAAGAAGGAGAAGCAGAACGGCTAGAAGGGATGCGTATGGCACTACTGGGCATGCGCATATCAATACGGCGTAATTTTTCTCACACTGTACAACAATAATTACTATTTTTTCATTATTGTAAGGGGTAGGTTTAGGGTTGGGGTAGGTGTAGACGTTAATAAAACACAATCTAATAGGTAGAAAATTAATTTAATTGTTCGCCAACTGACTGAAGTTAGTTTAAATAAATTAATAATTGTTTTATTTACAGATTACCTTCATTTACGGTCTTCTGTTCTACAAAACGATCTTTTGCGATCAGTTGTCAGTAAAAAGTTATATTTTCATACAATTATCTTAATTCTCAATAGGCTATTCTTTTTTTCCACTAAAATTCAGTGAAAATTAAGCACAGACTCATACTAGGTTTCCAGCTTTAATGTTATCAGTGCAAATCAAAACACAGTGAATGTGGACAGAGAATAATTAATGTCAAAATACTAACACAATACAGTACAATAAGGCTTGACCTTTGCATGTCAAATCACTTCAAATGCCAGTAGTTTGCAAGTCATTGCAAATAAAAAAACAATCATAGTGACAATAAAATGGGCAAGGGAATATAAAAATGACAAGGCAATAAAATTAAGATGCACATGTCATAAGCAATACGCTTCTGTGTAGTGAATTACATCTTCTGGATCATCACCTGGAATTTGCCTAAGAACAAAGAAAGTGCAGAAGAGGAGGGATGGCAGAAGACAACAAAAAAGAAACAATTAGTTACATTTTACATTTAATTAGAACTTGATGAGCTCAGACTTCATTAATGTTAAGTTTCAGATTAAGATCATGAAAAAAGTACTGAAAATCTAGTGGTTATTTCAGTAAGACTGCATAAAAGTTGCTCCTTACAAGCAGGCATGACTGATACTTCTGCTGTGACTATACTTTTCACACCAAGGTTTGAAAGTGCTCCTCGGACCAGTCCACAGGTGAAGGCTAAGAACTGCAGGAATGACAAAAAGGAGAGAGAAAAATTTGTTTTACGATTTCTTTATGAACTTTTTGAAACATAAAAGTGGTAGTTGTATAGAATGTCGATGGAGGGACAGAAGTCTTTAAGATTTAATTAAAAATATCTTCATTTGTGTTCCGAAGATTGACAAAAGTCTTACAGGTTTGCAACAACACGAGGGTGAGTAAATGATGACAGAATTTTTTTTTGGGGTGAACTATCCCTTTAATTACATTATTTGAGATTTTATTAAATATTGTATATCCCTTCTTCCCTGTCTGTAGATACAATATTATTACAAAAAAATGTAAATACTAAATATCTCATTATGGTATTTACAAGGATGAAGATATTGATTCTGCAGGTTCAGATTAAAGATCAAGTCAGCTTATGTTTATGTTTTTATTTAACTCACCCATTAAAGCTTATTGAAGTTATTTATGCTGCCTACCTTCGGTGCATGTTCCATATACTGTTTTCCAGCAGACAGTTGGGTCAGCAGGCGGAACTTGTTATCTTGTAGCACATAAATACCCTACAAACAATTTGAACATGTGAGGATTTTCTTAATAAGCACCTCTAGTTAATGAAGACATACACTAAGCTCTGAGACGAATTGAGATGACATAAATTAGCATTATAATGTACACACCTGGTGGTTTGTTCTCAGGTTGTCAATTTGCTTCTTAAAAACACTGGTCCAGAAATCTTTGCAGATAAACTTCATAACATCAAGCTCATCTTTAAAACGTGGCGTGTCTTTGGTAAACCTGCGAACAATAATGTGCTTGAGACACATCTTCTCAAGAACAAATGGCTATTTATTTGAAATACTAATTAAATAGTCTACTAAATTTTCTGTAAAATGAATTAAAAAACCATTTAGTTAAATTTGGGTCCACTGACAAGCTGCAGTACTACAAATAAAACTGCAAAAAGCAGTCAGATCATAGGATGTCATCAGAGGATCTGCTTGATTTAAGAATAAAATTTGGATTTATGGATGAAAAGATCTGCCATGATACCTCTCAATAAGTCCTTGTCCCACACGAAACCCCATGTTCTCAAGTTTAGAAACACATCGTCCATTCTCCTGAGCACAGCAGAACATTACATTAATTCAACATGCAACTTTCTCACAATTCGTTTTATTAGTGTGCTGGGCTTACTCAGTTCTATTACGCTATTCTACTATTCTGTGACAGTGTTTTCAGGGCTCTTACCGATTCCCCAGTTTCTGCACTGTTGACATATTGAATAATTTCACTGTGCAAGAACTGAAAGAGAGCCTCGTCTGCCATCTCGAGCCAGTTCAGCCAGACTGAAACTGACAAGCGACCCAAACCGACTACGGGTATAAATCACTTAGCCTACTACTTTAGTAAATGGACACTATTCATTGTGCGAAGAAATCAACTACAACTCCAAACAATTCGCCAGTCTATTCGACTGCTCCCTAATTTACTATTAGGGTCCTTCATCACATCTGTTCCACTTCCTGTTTGGCTGAGACCTAGCTGCCCTTGTATATGCCTGAACGTAAAAAAAAAAAATTCTCTCTCTCTTTGTTTGGAAAAAGGGATTTCGCTCTTGTTTTGTATGTAAATTAAGTATTGAAAAGTGATGCAGTCATGTACACCCGATTGACTATTATAATCAACACTTTGCCTTTTATATCTAAATTGGTTTGCAACTATTAATACCATTGTTGTATTGCACATACTAGTATTAACCTTTTTGCAGTCTTATTAGTAGACATAACAATATTAACGTTTTGTATAGTATTTGATTGTATTGTTTTTTAATGATACACAGGATTCAGTTTATAAAACCATTATAAAAATTAAGTATTTTATAAAATCATAAAAAAACACCTGTAAATGAATGCTTGCCTATATTTGCCTATAATTTTTCGTATTTATCTCTTAAATAATTTCTATAATTCATCTTTATAATTATATAACTTTTATGTAGTTCATTAAAGACTTAAATTGTTAATGATTTTTAGTAGCCCATTGCATTACTATGAATGAATAACTTGACATAAATACTGACGTTATAGAGCCCTTGGTAAAAACAACTATTATTATTTTACTGACAGTAAATCATGAATGAAACACACCAGAAACACAAATTCTACAAGATGTTTTATTTCTTAATTCATCCTTAACATTGTTTCTTTCCGCATACACCTTAATGTCTCACTCACCCACTTTTGCTTTCATAATGGTTATGAAAACAGTCCTTGGAACCCAAAAATGCCAATGCTTGGAATTTTAAAGATGTAAAACACCTGTTTACTCCAGCTAAACAGCCATTGAAACTTTACATTTCTTACTAAAGATACAGTACAGCTGTGCACAGTGTGCATCTCACTGAGGTAGATCAGTCGGAGTCTAAACATCACAGTTGAGTTGAGGTCAATTTCATTTCAGTTCAGCCAAAGAAGGAGATGCCCATGATGGTTTCTAAATAACATAAAAACTCATGAAATGACTTCACACCTTCAGCTCTTATTAGTAGACATAACAATATTAACGTTTTGTATAGTATTTGATTGTATTGTTTTTTAATGATACACAGGATTCAGTTTATAAAACCATTATAAAAATTAAGTATTTTATAAAATCATAAAAAAACACCTGTAAATGAATGCTTGCCTATATTTGCCTATAATTTTTCGTATTTATCTCTTAAATAATTTCTATAATTCATCTTTATAATTATATAACTTTTATGTAGTTCATTAAAGACTTAAATTGTTAATGATTTTTAGTAGCCCATTGCATTACTATGAATGAATAACTTGACATAAATACTGACGTTATAGAGCCCTTGGTAAAAACAACTATTATTATTTTACTGACAGTAAATCATGAATGAAACACAAATTCTACAAGATGTTTTATTTCTTAATTCATCCTTAACATTGTTTCTTTCCGCATACACCTTAATGTCTCACTCACCCACCTTTGCTTTCATAATGGTTATGAAAACAGTCCTTGGAACCCAAAAATGCTTGGAATTTTAAAGATGTAAAACACCTGTTTACTCCAGCTAAACAGCCATTGAAACTTTACATTTCTTACTAAAGATACAGTACAGCTGTGCACAGTGTGCATCTCACTGAGGTAGATCAGTCGGAGTCTAAACATCACAGTTGAGTTGAGGTCAATTTCATTTCAGTTCAGCCAAAGAAGGAGATGCCCATGATGGTTTCTAAATAACATAAAAACTCATGAAATGACTTCACACCTTCAGCTGGCCTAAACAAAATGGAGTTGACAACATATGCCATCACAGTTACCTTATAGGCCACTGGTGCATGTAACACTGAGTCAAAAGTACAGACAGCAAAGCAGTGCTAAAATACCATTCAAATTTACATGACAAAACATTTTCTTTTCTGACAGTGCTCCTGGTTTAGCTTGGAGAGATACATGAAGTGCTTTTCAGCAATAACTGGGCATGTGCTAAGATTATTTTGTCTGAAACTTCTGAATCCAGGCAAAACATTGAGGGAAACTTTGTAGTGTGAGAACTACGTATTGTGTAAAACTAGTATAACCATTTTTTTACATGAATATTCAGGGCGCAAATATGATCAATTCTTGTTTATTACTAAACAAAAAATTTCAGTTATAATTTACTTAGTTCCCATATTAGGAATGTGTCAGAATGGGCTACTTAATTTTAAACAAATGTTCACTTTTCATTGATTTTCAATTCCAGAGGGATCATAGTTTTATTCTGCATTTCATTCACAAAATACTCTGGAATGAACAGAGAGAGATGGGGGTTTACAGGAGAAGAGTCTCCACAATAACTGTGATTCCTTTCATTAGCATTAAGGATGTGAACACAACAGCGCCTAAATACTTTTACCTAAAGGCTAAAATCAATACAAGCTAATTAATTAAATGCTAATTAATCACCTGACTCTAAAAATGTCATAACTAAAACCATTGAGCATTCAAAAAGAAAAAGAAAATCAAATGAGATAACGTTTGCTTCATTTCTTGTCAAATGGTTGAATCCTTTTCGTGACAAGAGTTCAGCTTAGAGAGGTAGGTTTTTTTGTGTTGTGTGACTGTGAGCTGAGAGGTACATCTAAGAACACAGTTCAACTTGACTTTTATGGTGCGGTCACATTAGCCAATTTTCTGCGAAATTTCATGGACAAAAAAGGTCAATCGTGTAGATGTATGAAGCACAGCGCACACAGAAGTCAATTTCAAACCAAACACATTTTTGTTGGTCAATGCGTTAAATTTATATGGCCATATGACTCGGTTGTGAAATTTGCACAGGGAAATCTTTCACCCGCATGCAAAAGTACCCACGTGGATTCCTATTGAAATAACTGGATTTTGCAGACGAAAATTCACAGAACAATAAATGTGACCGCACCTTAAGTCATAGAAGTGCCGTTGATAAAAAAGTGCTTCATTATACAACGGAGAACACTGTAATAGCATTATTTTCCTTCTTGACAAAAATATTGAGGTATTTCTTTAGCTAACTTTTCAGGGTTTTTTTTTTTTTTTTTAATGAATTTTATGTTCATTTATCACTACAAAACAGTTACTCTGAAGACCCTCTAGGAAAAACCACAAAGTTTTTTAACTATTCAAAACAAAGCAAAACTCCATCTATCCTAGTGATCCTTTCATATAATTCTACAGGATCCATTTCGCACCCAACAAACTTCACCATCTCCAGTTCATTACCTATAAGCTCCTTGGCAATGACGCAACAGAACTGTCACGTTTGACTGGCAGGTCATAGTGGACATGGGCGACATCATTGCTGGAAGGCCTGATGGAATCGAGGTAGAGTCGGAGAGAAACCAGAGAACTGGTTTAAGTGCCCTGATGCCTGAGGCTCATGCAGTGACTGTGGCTGAAATGAGGCAAGCGGCCCAGAGAGCTGAGAGGTAGGGCTTGGGGACACGGCATTGGTGGTGGTCGAGTATCCCAAGGTAGTGCTGTAGGGAGGCAGGCCAAATGGCAGGAAGCCCAACAGGTGCGAGAGGTCCATGTTGGCGGAGGTGGTAGGCGGCTCGGCTGAGGTGAACGCCGAGTTCCTGAGAGTGAAATGGGCACTCTGACCTCCCAGACTGTCAGTGAAAAGGTCGCCAGGCCGGGAGACGGCAGTCGCTACAGCGGCCTGCGGTGGCATTGGCCCGCACTGGAGTTCAGTCAGGAAGCTCTCCATCTCCGCTTTCAGATATGAGGTAGTGGAACTCGGCTGATATCTGGAAGCCTGCTGGTAATGCTGCGGAGGAGGCTTGTTTGGCTCAAGGTAGCAGCCCACACCCATTGGGCTGGAAAGGGGGCCAGACACCATCGTGTGATGGTGATGATTGACCCCTGAGGTAGATGTGCCCGGAAGGGCTTGAGGGTTGAACATGGGCATAGAAAACGCCTCTGTGGCATCTTTCGGAGATCCAATAGAGCACACGGTAGGACTGGGCTCCTCTTTAATGGGCATCGGAGGAAGGGTCTCCAAATCTTGCGCGTGGCTTTTCTTCAGGTGTCGGGTGAGGTGGTCGCGACGGCCGAAGCGTTGGGCGCAACGCGGGCACAGGAAGTCCCGTCTGCCGGTGTGCACCACTGCGTGGCGCCTCACATCCTTGCGAGTGAAGAAGCGGCGGCCGCACCGTTCACACTGATGCTTCCTTTCTCGTACCACAGTCCCCGGAGGTGGCCGGCCGGTGTGTGTACTCAAGTGCTCGAGTAGCGCCGGCATGCTCTCGAACGCCTGACGACAGACCTTACAGGTAAGGTCACCGCTGGCGGAGGTGGCATGCGTGGCCACGTGGCGTCTAAGACCCAGGCGAGTGTTGTAATGCTTTCCGCATTCCTCGCACCGCAGTTCCTGCTTGTTGGGGTCATGGTTTTGCAGGTGGCTGTTTAGCTGGTCTTTGCCATGAAACATTTTCTCACATATATGGGTAGTTCTCAGGGAGTATGTCACTGTACATCTGTGAAAAGCCAACGATCAGTGATGACAACAATTCAAGGTTAAAAAATAAAGTACAATTATAATCTCATTGTTTTAGAGCAGGGGTGCCCAATCTTGTTTCTGGAGAACTGCCTACCTGTAACGTTTAGCTCAAAATGTAATCAGGTAGATCTCCAGGAACAGGATTTGATATCCCTGTTTTAGAGACAAAAGCAAGTACCTGAGAAGAAGCTCCAACAGCTGATTTTTCTTCGGAGTGAAGATTGTTTTTTTGCATGTTCAGTCTTCTGCACATGAACAAAAAAATGCAGCAGGTGAGGATTTGGTAACATCATCTTGATCTTATACATGCACTTAACACAGTAATAACAGTAAAAATGCACAGTTACAAGCAACTAACCATAAATGAAACTCTAAGCCTAACCATATATTAGGTACAAGTTAATTAATATTACTCTGTACTTATTTGTATAACTACATTGCAATAATTCTAAGTGTAAATAAAAAAGTAAATAAAGTATAACCAATTATTTTCCCACTTAAAGTTCTTTTATGCAAACGTTTATCTAAAATAGCAATAAATCCACAGTGGATTTGACCGTGCAACAACCAAAAAAGTTTGATTTCTAACATTCTTCAATTATCTTCTTTTGTGTTCCATAAAAAGAGGAGTAGTAAATGATGACAATTCTCATTTTTGGGTGAACAATATATTTAACTTGCTTGTAAACAAACCACAACAATTAAAGCTTTTTTTGCTGCTACATTATCCAAACAAAAATATTTAAGGCATATACAGTGCATAAAAATGCAATATGATAAAACAATTTATACTATATGCTTATATACATATATTCTTTTTAAATTCCTGGAGGACACAAATGCATCAATTTCTATTTTCTACCGTCTTCTTTCAACATATCATTGAAATAACACAGAACATTTCTGAAAAATAAAAAGATCCCTAGAGAATTTTGACTTCTCAAAAGATAATAAATGAAAGAAAAAAACAGAAAAAAATAATCAATTCTTGATTTAGTAAACAAAACATAAAGAGTGGCTTGATGGCAAAGCAGTGCAGTCTATGAACCAAGCGGTCTCTCTGAATGGAAACAGATTTCAACACGAGAAACTTAAAAACACCCTGAGGGGATGTCAATGATGATTGGTTAGTGACATTTATAAAGGGTTTGTTTACCTGTTTCAAGTCTCACAAAAGCACATTCATTATCTTGACAGGCCTCCGGAAAATGCATGTCCACTATTACTCCCTCCCTTTTAGAGAATGGACGGACATCATTCAGGCAACCATTTGAAGTATTTTAATATGAACATAAATCCAAACTATTTTACTTCATTATTATATAAATATGTTTTAATTTAGTAAAAATATTCTTTTTTGAAGCTTATGAACTTGGCTCTGCTTTAAAAGTTCAATTGGGACAAAATATGCTTCTATCTATTATCTTTCAAACATACAACTTGCTCATGTAGAAATACAGCATAACTACCAAATACAATAATGGAAACCAACATGTTTGCTTATTTTCAGCTTTGAATATTTTAAATTCCAAATGGCTACAAATGACATAGTAACAGCATTTTCTCCATTTCAACTAGCAGTTTACTGCAAATATGACACATGAAATTATGAAATTGTACTTGTATTGTACACATAAAAATGTCATGTTCGCGTAAAATCTGATTTTTTAAAATAAAGCAAAATATACTAAGCTCTTTTTAAGGTGTGTCTAGTACTATATATTTGGTTTACTAAAAAAAAAAAACACCTTGCTGATTTCATCTTTTAGTCTATTTACTTCTAGCACGTTTCGCTCAGCAAAATCTCTAAAGAGCCGCAGAACATTGTGATTAAATGGTCAAATCGAAATGATCCGTAATAAAGAGCGAATCAACACAAATCAAACTATCCTTTCGTGCTTGCCCCATGTTAAAAATAGAAACAAATAAGAGACATTGAAAGCACTATCAGTCTTACGCGGAGCTAATGTGTTTGCTCACGCAGGCAACATTTAAAGTTCTTATGTGGGGTTACTGGCGCACACGTATCTTTTCAAAAGTCTAAAAATACTACCCACGAAACTCCATGAGGTTTTCAAACATTCGAACATCAATGCAAACAGCCCATGCGGTCCTAAATTCACAGTCTAACATTTGCATAAACGCAGTCTTGTGCTCACCAGAAACTTTTGATCCCCGCTAAAGTTGCAGTTCACATGCATTCCTCCATTCTACATCTCGCAAGGGTGCAAATAAAACATTCGTTTCCCAGCCATATCTCGATGGATTCTCAAAAACTATTCGCAGTGGATCATTTAGTTATTGTTCAATAATGTGTGTATTTTTCGGGCCTGCTGTTTCTGTCCCTCTAAACACAGCGGCGCTGGAGCTGATGGGGCGCGTGCATTGTGGGAACGTGACGTCAGACCTCTTTGGTCAACTTTCAGGGTGGGATTTCACTCTTAGTTTCCACCATTTAAACTTTTACAAACACTCACATTGCATCACAGTGAGTTCTATAAATAGACTAAAAACGAATATAAATTACGCGGCATGGCCATTTTCAATAGTTATGAATTACTTCAACTCACTAGTGAAGGAAAAATGTAAAGTTTCTGAGAATTAACTTGTATCTTTAAAAAAAAAAAAAAAGGCATGAATAATACTGTATTTGACAAGATACAATTAATATATCACCACTCCTCAACTTGTTTACAACGTCCGGTTTGTTGCACTCGAGTAATAAATTGCCAATGAAACCTTTACGTGCGGGAACAAACTTGACAAAGTAGCAGAACTTTTCTTCCCTTCTGAGTTCATTATGCATTATTCCGAGGTAACGTTTAGCACAATTTCGTTTTTGCTTTGAGTATATGTAATGCAGTGTTGGGGGTAACGCATTACAAGTAACGCGAGTTACGTAATCAGATTACTTTTTTCAAGTAACTAGTAAAGTAACGCATTACTTTTTTAATTTACAAGAAAATATCTGAGTTACTTTTTCAAAAAAGTAACGCCAGTTACTTTGTTTTCCCATTTATTGACTGTCAAGTCTCCTGTCCCCATATTGGGAGAAATCAGAAGTGCAGAGGAATTGTGTGCGCTGTGTGAACATGATGTTACTGTAGTTCTAGACTAAATGTGAATGTGCATTAATTCATCCCACTCACAAAAAACAGATTTAGTATTCATCAAAATGAATTAAAACTCAGAATATGACGCAAACCTGCAATAATTAAATATATGTTAAATAACAGAAATGTATCTAATCCCATTTTACTAACCGATGTCTTTGCTGCTGACCTTTGATGATCCAGTTCAACCATACTAATAAGCAAAAATGACTTTAGAGAAACTAACAATTGTGCCTTGTTTTTTTTATTGCTGAAGAGTATTTCTTCTCATCCGTTCTACTGTACAGACGTGAATTTACTTTTGCTTCAGCCTGAGGCTTATTCATTACACTTTTTGGTGTGAAAGGGCTTTTATATTTGCTATAAATAGAACTTCTTATATTAAAAACAATCAAGCCCTGCTTATATTTAAAAAGAAACGCAAAAGTAATATAACGCATTACTTTCCATAAAAAGTAACTAAGTAACGTAATTAGTTACTTTTTTATGGAGTAACGCAATATTGTAATGCATTACTTTTAAAAGTAACTTTCCCCAACACTGATGTAATGAGTACTGCTTTTCTAACATTGTTTCCATTTCACAATGGAGCGTTTTCGTTTCCAGCATGTAATTGTACTTGCAAAATAACATCCGGTGAAGTCTCGTGAGAAACTGATGTGACTTAACGAAGAGCATTCAGAACGAGTAACATTATTTGTCTATGAAGGTTCTTCAAATTGTTATATTATTACTGTCGGTAACTGCTCATTGAAGAAGCTCAGTAAGTGTAAATAATGCATTCATAATAATTATGATAGAACCTAAAATAATACAACAAAAATATCCAAGTTTGAAATTTTATAATATTACTTTAAACACATGTACATATTTTAACACACACACACACACACACACATATATATATATATATATATATATATATATATATATATATATATAGGAGTTGGATAATGGAAATGAACACATTTAAAATAGTTTTAGAATACTTCTACAAAATAATGCTATTTTGTTATTAAATGTAATTATGAAATAAATTCATAATGCTTATACTGTAAATTTAGCATTTATTCTAATTTAACAAAATAAAACAGAGCTGTCACTTTTGCAGTGGAAACATTAAATTGCATTAAATGAAGAATTTTAAAGCGATGTTACAGTAAATGCATATTGTTGTCTTATATAATAATATACGCATTCCTCACATCTAGTTTTCACCCTGTTATAAAACTACTAACAACAACACTCAGTACTTTTGAGTAGAAATAACTGTTAATATTTTCTTGCTCAGCAAATAATAGTCCATATTCTACAAATACACATAAGTCAAAGAGAAAAAAAAGGTTCAGTAAACGATACAAGACTGAAGAGTCTTTAAGTAAGCAGAGAACTAAATATTGTGCTGTAATGTGCCATGTTTGTTAGCATTATATGGAAAAGTACAGACTAGGAAAATAAATGTTGCTAGCGAAGATTACACAGACTATAACAAACTGGATAAATGTCTGTATATGCTTTAGACCGCAGAGTTATACTTCTGGTAAGGAATCTATGCATTGTTTAATCAGTAGGACAGAAATAATACACCATTGTCAATTCAAGAGCGTCAAGGCTAAAAATATTTCCATCACTTACAGCTCCCCACCAGCCAAGCAAACTGGAGCTAAATTTAAGAAGAGGGTCTGGCTAACAACTCTGAACAATGTGTTAAACATGGAATTGCAATTGAAGATCATAAGCAGTATGATCATGTATATCATAAAATGTTTACTAATAATAAATTGTTACTAAAACGACAAAAGTTTTTCAACTGCAATTTTTTTTTAAATATTGAAATTCAGATGATTTCATTTATAAGTTTGACTTTCATTGGAGAAGAGCCAAATCAAGAGAATGATTCACTCCCAAATCAAATATTAAAATCACTTGTGAGCAAATATGCTGTACACGAGAGTGATATCCAGCTAAAGGCAGAGTATAACTAGAAAATGTATATGGATTAAACATATGGATTTTTATTACTTTTTTTATGAAATGCATGCTTGCTGTTTTTATGTTCTCTTAGAATAGCATTTTATTGTTTTATTGTTTAAATGTTTCAGTGGCATATCTGAGTCTGAGACTACATACTTTACATAAAGAGTGAACTTTCTTTTAACTTTGAGACTACACTAGTTCTCAGTATTTTTAAATAATAGTTTCCCTAATGCTATTGAATTTGCTGAAATAATCCACCCAGTTGAAATGAGCTTTAAAATAGACAAAGATTTATCCAAAAGTCTTTATTCAGCTGCCACATTATGAAAGTGTACTTCGTAGTTACAATATAGAAAATAACACCGTAAATCCATTGACTGCTTAATTTATATTCTTTGTGCAGTAATTCATATTCTGTATAAGTGCCGTTTTTGACACAATATAAATACCTTGGTGAAAAAGCCACTGTGGAGTCAAACGAGCAAACAAACACTTGGTTAATGAGTTTTGAATCGGGTCTCAGTCCTGAAAACATTTTTTTCCCCTGTTCCTTATGCATATTCTTCTTAATAACACTTACAGGCTACACAAAGCAGTGGAGAAAACCCTTTCCTTTGATTCCAACAGTTTTTTTCACAACAAAACAGACATTTCTAACACAGTATAACAAGCCTTATTTCAGATTGGCCATCTAAAGATAATGACATATACTCATTAAGAGGTGTAATTTGGTTCAAGAGCTATTAGAGGAGAACTGAAAGGCTGTACAAGAAATGACTGCTGAGCTGGCATCTGTTTGGCAGGAATATAACCAACACGGGTTTAATCATAACCCCATCACAGAGGGAAACACGGCTGTACCTGCAAAGAGAAAAGAGCATCGAAAGTTCATCAAACATTTGATAAAAAAAAACGAATATGATGATTTTTTTTTTTAGAAAAAGATATGCACATGCTTTGTTATGCAGTTAAATTGAAATATTTCAGTTTTTGCAATTATAAAGATAGACACAACTACTATTCAGGATGATTAACTGGCTAGTATTTGGTCAATATTTGGCCTTCTTGGGCAAATAGGAATAGTTCACCTAACAATGGAAATATGTAAAAATTTACTTATTTTAAAGGAACAGTTTACCCAAAAATGTAAATGTTTTAATTATTTAATCACCCTGAGGCTATCCAAGATGAGTTTGATGGACTGGAGTCGTATGGATCACTTGTGGATTATTGTGATGTTTTTATCAGCTGTTTGAACGCTCATTCTGACGGCACCCATTCACTGCAGAGGATCCAGCAAGTGATGCGATGCTAAACTTTATGCAAATCTTTTCTGATGAAGAAACAAACTCATCTACATCTTGGATGGCCTGAGGTTAAGTACATTTTCAACCAATCTTCATTTTATGTGTGAACTACTCCTTTAAAAGTAGGGTTACCTCTTCATTGCGTTAGTTACAAAATCTACTGACAGCCTTGTTTAGGGATAATATTATATAAAATAAGTGTGCATTTCATTATATATACAGTATATTAGCATTAAATTAATTTAAAGGACATTTGTATCTGCATTTGACAAACCTATATTGCTCAACTGTGAATGCGTTGCAAAACTTTTTTTTTTTAAACAACTAAACAGCCTCTAAAAATACACTATATACAAACACTAATATATATTACATAAAATAATCTCACTGCCCTGTCAGTGATTCGTACTTTTTGGGCTACCTTGACCATCTGCAGAGTCAATGTCTGGAACTTTCCAGTCTAGCTTGCGTCCTTTCTCATAGAGAGCCTTGAGAACCTTCCGGAACTCCTCTTGTCCTCCGTTATGACTCAGCTCCAAGTACTTCCTGTACAACTGTAGGGCAGTCCGTGCATCTTCGATACTATCATGAGTTTCGCTCTGAATGTTCAGATCTGAACAAATGTTCAAATAGCCATAAAACACTGATACATAGAAAATGACATATGAGGTCAAGAGATAAGGGAAAGTTTATGGGTCATTCCGTGTCAACTCAACCAGCTAAAATTTTTGATTTCGCTAATATTTTTTCTGAAGAAAGACATACATGTATAGTGACGAAAGTCAAAATATTAAATGTCATGAATAAATATTTACGGAGTAATCCACTATTTTGTAAAGGAGGGTCAAAAAGGCAATTTTCACCTGAGATTCAGAGCCAAATAACAAGGGGGTAAAAATGACTTCAGAAAGACGGCAGCATCATAACGTTATTTTTACACAGAGATTGGTTGGTCTGTTAATAAAGCAAGCTTTGTTTCATTATGTGTCAATGGTGACCATTCAA